CCCTCCTTTTCTCCCCGCCGAGGCACTCTCTATCTCTCGTTCACTCTCTCACCCCCTCATCTCTCGCCGGATCACTCTCCATCTCTCGCACACTCCTCGCGCCCTCCGTTTCTCTCGCCGGGTCACTCTCTATCTCGCACACACTCGCGCCCTCCGTTTCTCTCTCGCCGGGTCACTCTCTATCTCTCGCACACTCTCGCGCCATCCGTTTCTCTCGCCGGATCACTCTCTATCTCTCGCACGCTCGACCTCCTTTTCTCTCGCCGAGTCACTATCTATCTCTCCGTTCACTCTCTCTACCCCCTCTATCTCTCGCCGGATCACTCTCTCTATCTCTCGCACCTCTCGCGTCCTCCGTTTCTCTCGCCGGGTCACTCTCTATCTCTCGCACACTCCCTCGCGCCCTCCGTTTCTCTCGCCGGATCACTCTCTATCTCTCACACGCTCGACCTCCTTTTCTCTCGCCGAGTCACTCTCATCTCACGTTCACTCTCTCACCCCCTCTATCTCTCGCCGGATCACTCTCCATCTCTCGCACACTCTCGCGCCCTCCGTTTTCCTCTTGCCGGGTCCTCTCTATCTCTCGCACACTCTCGCGCCCTCCGTTTCTCTCGCCGGGTCACTCTCTATCTCTCGCACACTCTCGCGCCCTCGTTTCTCTCGCCGGGTCACTCTCTATCTCTCGCACACTCTCGCGCCCTCCCGTTTCTCTTCCGCCGGATCACTCTCTATCTCTCGCACACTCCCGCCCCCTTTTTCTCCCGCCGAGTCACTCTCTATCTCTCGTTCACTCTCTCACCCCCTCTATCTCTCGCCGGATCACTCTCCATCTCTCGCACACTCTCGCGCCCTCCGTTTCTCTCGCCGGGTCACTCTCTATCTCTCGCACACTCTCGCGCCCTCCGTTTTTCTCGCCGGGTCACTCTCTATCTCTCGCACACTCTCGCGCCATCCGTTTCTCTCGCCGGATCACTCTCTATCTCTCGCACACGCTCGACCTCCTTTCTCTCGCTCGAGTCACTCTCTATCTCTCGTTCACTCTCTCACCCCCTCTTACTCTCGCCGGATCACTCTCTATCTCCTCGCACACTCTGCGCTCCTTTTCTCTCGCCGAGTCACTCTCTCAGCTCTCGTTCACTCTCCTCACCCTCTCTATCTCTCGCCGGATCACTCTCTATCTCTCGCACACTCTCTCCCTCCTTTTCTCTCGCCGAGTCACTCTCTATCTCTCGTTCACTCTCTCACCCCCTCTATCTCTCGCCGGATCACTCTCCATCTCTCGCACACTCTCGCCCTCCTTTCTCTCGCCGAGTCACTCTCTATCCCTCACACCTCTCGCGCCCTCCGTTTCTCTCGCCGGATCACTCTCTATCTCTCGCACACGCTCGACCTCCTTTTCTCTCGCCGAGTCACTCTCTATCTCTCGCATACTCTCGCGCCCTCCGTTCTCTCGCCGGATCACGCCTCCTATCTCTCGCACCTCTCGCCCTCCTTTTCCCTCGCCGAGTCACTCTCCCATCTCTCGTTCACTCTCTCACCCCCTCTATCTATCCGCCGAATCACTCTCCATCTCTCGCACACTCGCGCCTCCGTTTCTCTCGCCGGGTCACTCTCTATCTCTCGCACACTCTCATACACTCCGTTTCTCTCGCCGGGTCATCTCTATCTCTCGCACACTCTCGCGCCCTCCGTTTCTCTCGCCGGATCACTCTCTATTTCTCCTCCACACGCTCGACCTCCTTTTCTCTCGCCGAGTCACTCTCTATCTCTCGTTCACTCTCTCACCCCCTCTATCTCTCGCCGGATCACTCTCTATCTCTCGTTTACTCTCTCACCCCCTCTCTCTGCTGGATCACTCTCTATCTCTCGCACCCTCTCGCGTCCTCCGTTTCTCTCGCCGGGTCACTCTCTATCTCTCGCACACTCGCGTCCTCCGTTTCTCTCGCCGGATCACTCTCTATCTCTCGCATACGCTCGACCTCCTTTTCTCTCGCCGGATCACTCTCTATCTCTCGTTCACTCTCTCACCCCCTCTATCTCTCGCCGGATCACTCTCTATCTCTCGTTTACTCTCTCACCCCCTCTATCTCTCGCCGGATCAATCTCTCTATCTCTCGCACACTCTCGCGTCCTCCGTTTCTCTCGCCGGGTCACTATCTATTTCTCGCACACTCTCGCGCCCTCCGTTTCTCCTCGCCGGGTCACTCTATCTCTCGCACACTCTTGCGCCCTCCGTTTCTCTCGCCGGATCACTCTCTATCTCTCGCACACGCTCGACCTCCTTTTCTCTCGCCGAGTCACTCTCTATCTCTCGTTCACTCTCTCACCCCTCTATCTCCGCCGGATCACTCTCTATCTCTCGTTCACCTCTCACCCCCTCTATCTCTCGCCGGATCACTCTCCATCTCTCGCACACTCTCGCGCCCTCCGTTTCTCTCGCCGGGTCACTCTCTATCTCTCGCACACTCTCGCGCTCCTTTTCTCTCGCCGAGTCACTCTCTAGCTCTCGTTCACTCTCTCACCCTCTCTATCTCTCGCCGGATCACTCTCTATCTCTCGCACACTCTCTCCCTCCTTTTCTCTCGCCGAGTCACTCTCTATCTCTCGCTCACTCTCTCACCCCCTCTATCTCTCGCCGGATCACTCTCCATCTCTCGCACACTCTCGCCCTCCTTTTCTCTCGCCGAGTCACTCTATCTCTCGCACACTCTCGCGCCCTCCGTTTCTCTCGCCGGATCACTCTCTATCTCTCGCACACGCTCGACCTCCTTTTCTCTCGCCGAGTCACTCTCTATCTCTCGTTCACTCTCTCACCCCCTCTTACTCTCGCCGGATCACTCTCTATCTCTCGCACACTCTCGCGCTCCTTTTCTCTCGCCGAGTCACTCTCTAGCTCTCGTTCACTCTCTCACCCTCTCTATCTCTCGCCGGATCACTCTCTATCTCTCGCACACTCTCCCCCTCCTTTCTCTCGCCGAGTCACTCTCTATCTCTCGCTCACTCTCTCACCCCCTCTATCTCTCGCCGGATCACTCTCCATCTCTCGCACACTCTCGCCCTCCTTTTCTCTCGCCGAGTCACTCTCTATCTCTCGCACACTCTCGCGCCCTCCGTTTCTCTCGCCGGATCACTCTCTATCTCTCGCACACTCTCGCGTCCTCCGTTTCTCTCGCCGGGTCACTATCTATTTCTCGCACACTCTCGCGCCCTCCGTCTCTCTCGCCGGGTCACTCTCTATCTCTCGCACACTCTCGCGCCCTCCGTTTCTCTCGCCGGATCACTCTCTATCTCTCGCACACGCTCGACCTCTTTTCTCTCGCCGAGTCACTCTCTATCTCTCGTTCACTCTCTCACCCCCTCTATCTCTCGCCGGATCACTCTCTATCTCTCGTTTACTCTCTCACCCCCTCTATCTCTCGCCGGATCACTCTCCATCTCTCGCACACTCTCGCCCTCCTTTTCTCTCGCCGGGTCACTCTCTATCTCTCGCACACGCTCGACCTCCTTTTCTCTCGCCGAGTCACTCTCTATCTCTCGTTCACTCTCTCACCCCCTCTATCTCTCGCCGGATCACTCTCTATCTCTCGCACACTCGCCCTCCTTTTCTCCTCGCCGAGTCACTCTCTAGCTCTCGTTCACTCTCTCACCCTCTCTATCTCTCGCCGGATCACTCTCTATCTCTCGCACACTCTCGCGCCCTCCGTTTCTCTCGCCGGGTCACTCTCTATCTCCTCGCACACTCTCGCGCCCTCCGTTTCTCTCGCCGGGTCACTCTCTATCTCTCGCACACTCTCGCGCCCTCCGTTTCTCTCGCCGGGTCGCTCTCTATCTCTCGCACACGCTCGACCTCCTTTTCTCTCGCCGAGTCACTCTCTATCTCTCGTTCACTCTCTCACCCCCTCTATCTCTCGCCGGATCACGCTCTATCTCTCGCACACTCTCGCCCTCCTTTTCTCTCGCCGAGTCACTCTCTATCTCTCGTTCACTCTCTCACCCCCTCTATCTATCGCCGGATCACTCTCCATCTCTCGCACACTCGCGCCCTCCGTTTCTCTCGCCGGGTCACTCTCTACCTCTCGCACACTCTCGCGCCCTCCGTTTCTCTCGCCGGGTCACTCTCTATCTCTCGCACACTCTCGCGCCCTCCGTTTCTCTCGCCGGGTCACTCTCTATCTCTCGCACACTCTCGCGCCCTCCGTTTCTCTCGCCGGGTCACTCTCTATCTCTCGCACACTCTCGCGCCCTCCGTTTCTCTCGCCGGGTCACTCTCTATCTCTCGCACACTCTCGCGCCCTCCGTTTCTCTCGCCGGGTCACTCTCTATCTCTCGCACACTCTCGCGCCCTCCGTTTCTCTCGCCGGGTCACTCTCTATCTCTCGCACACTCTCGCGCCCTCCGTTTCTCTCGCCGGGTCACTCTCTATCTCTCGCACACTCTCGCGCCCTCCGTTTCTCTCGCCGGGTCACTCTCTATCTCTCGCACACTCTCGCGCCCTCCGTTTCTCTCGCCGGGTCACTCTCTATCTCTCGCACACTCTCGCGCCCTCCGTTTCTCTCGCCGGGTCACTCTCTATCTCTCGCACACTCTCGCGCCCTCCGTTTCTCTCGCCGGGTCACTCTCTATCTCTCGCACACTCTCGCGCCTCCGTTCTCTCGCCGGGTCACTCTCTATCTCTCGCACACTCTCGCGCCCTCCGTTTCTCTCGTCGTTTCTTTCACTCACTCTCTCTGCCTGTCTCTCTTGCTTTCCCGTTAAAATTTATTATCCCAAACAAAAGGCGAGTAACACAGCAAAACCAAAGAACCACCATAAACATGCCGCGGGAATATCAAAAAGGCGAAAAATGGCCTGGTATGCTATTTGAACAATTCTAAACCATAAACAGGGAGAATCAGGGAGAAATGAGGACAAGCAAAAGCAAGAAAAATAATTTCGAAGGTAGTGCCGAGGTTGATGCCGCCATTGAGTGGGCGCTGCTCGACGTGGATGTGGATTAATCAGTCGATTTCTCGGGCGGTTCGGACGCTGTCGCCCCGTCTCGGCCAGACCAAGAACATTTGCTGGACACGTTGGTGAACCTGAAATGGAGGAAATAAAATGTGAAGCAAAAATCGATTTGAGATTTTGCTAGCAAACGGCGAAAGAGTGAAAGACCCAAATTTAGAAAATTACTTACGGGTTGATACCCAAACATCACAGCTCGCCTCACCCGGCATTCGCAGCACCGACCGATCAGTGCTAAAAAAGCACAATATTTTCCGAACGAGACGAATTTTACCTTCGAAGAGATTTTCTGTGTTGTGCTTGTGGTAGTCCTCGTCGTTGCAACGGTGGTTGACCCCGCGCCATTCTCTACAAACAGATTTTCTAAGAAAAACCAAAATCCTTACAAGACAGAGCTGGCACAACGGTGACAAAGTCGCAGAAGTCCAACAGAGTGGTGCAGCTTTGCCGATCCACAACACACACACCGCTCGAGATGGCGGTGCTCCCACACCGCGTTGCCGCGCATTAGCAGTTCGAGTACAACCCTTTCGTGCAGCTTTGTGGCGGTCGACCAGTAGTAAATGAAGGGCCCAACTTCACGCCCATTTGCGGCCTTCTCCGAATGGTAGCCCGAGACCACATCACCAGCCTGGAATGAAATCTTTCAATCGCCATAAATACCCCCATCTCCCTTTAACGCCTCAAAGAATCTCTGCTAGCCTGCCCCGTCATCTCCTGTCACCCTCCCTTTAATGCCTCAAAGAATCTCTGCTAGCCTGCCCCGTCATCTCCTGTCACCCTCCCTTTAATGCCTCAAAGAATCTCTGCTAGCCTGCCCCGTCAACTCCTGTCACCCTCCTTTAATGCCTCAAAGAATCTCTGCTAGCCTGCCCCGTCATCTCCTGTCACCCTCCCTTTAATGCCTCAAAGAATCTCTGCTAGCCTGCTCCCGTCATCTCCTGTCACCCTCCCTTTAATGCCTCAAAGAATCTCTGCTAGCCTGCCCCGTCAACTCCTGTCACCCTCCCTTTAATGCCTCAAAGAATCTCTGCTAGCCTGCCCCGTCAACTCCTGTCACCCTCCCCTTTAATGCCTCAAAGAATCTCTGCTAGCCTGCCCCGTCATCTCCTGTCACCCTCCCCTTTAATGCCTCAAAGAATCTCTGCTAGCCTGCCCCCGTCATCTCCTGTCACCCTCCCTTTAATGCCTCAAAGAATCTCTGCTAGCCTGCCCCGTCAACTCCTGTCACCCTCCCTTTAATGCCTCAAAGAATCTCTGCTAGCCTGCCCCGTCAACTCCTGTCACCCTCCCTTTAATGCCTCAAAGAATCTCTGCTAGCCTGCCCCGTCAACTCCTGTCACCCTCCCTTTAATGCCTCAAAGAATCTCTGCTAGCCTGCCCCGTCAACTCCTGTCACCCTCCCTTTAATGCCTCAAAGAATCTCTGCTAGCCTGCCCCGTCATCTCCTGTCACCCTCCCTTTAATGCCTCAAAGAATCTCTGCTAGCCTGCCCCCGTCATCTCCTGTCACCCTCCCTTTAATGCCTCAAAGAATCTCTGCTAGCCTGCCCCGTCAACTCCTGTCACCCTCCCTTTAATGCCTCAAAGAATCTCTGCTAGCCTGCCCCGTCATCTCCTGTCACCTTCCCTTTAATGCCTCAAAGAATCTCTGCTAGCCTGCCCAAAAAAACTTCTCACCAGCATGTGGGTGTCGTTAGGAGCATCACGGAGAAGTTGTCCATGTATTCCTTGGATGAGCTGTAGGCGACGAGTCGTAGTCTGGCTGTAGCTATCTGTAAAATAAAGCCATTAACCGAACTTCCGATCAACAATCAATCAATCAATCAATCAATCTATCAATCAGAATCAATCAGTAAAAGAATCAATAGACACTCACAGCGGTGGGCAGCGGCGCCGGCAAAATCAGGCGACGGCGATCGGGATAACGTATCCGGTCCTTTGGACCCGCTGCTAGGGGTACTCGACGGAGATGGGGTAGGAGTCGGAGAAGGCGTCGGTGTAGTTGGAGCTCTTCCTTTTTTGTGGCGTCTGGAACGGGCGGGCGCCGGCTTGCCTAAAGCAGAAAATGTATAATTAGCATATAGGACCCTCAAACATCTCCCCGAAAATGCCAAAGCACCACCAAAGGATTGGGAACGTAAGCCAGAAAAACGGACGGTTAGGTTTTGGAGACGGGGTCCGTTGCGTCGTAGAAGGCGTACTCGATCCAGACGAGGCCGTTGATGATGAGGCAGGAGGAGGCGGAGGAGGCGGAGCAGGAGGAGGGGTGGGCGGATGCCCGGCGGCTGCCCGGGCTCGTCCTGCCCGCGTCAGCACCGGCATAATTGCCTGAAACAAAGAATATTTAATTAGCATATCGACTGGAAAACAAAAAATGGAAAACAAAAACATGATATAAAAAAGTCAAAAAGGGAAAAGAAGCCAGTCAAGGCCCCGGCAAAAAAACAGAATGAAAAAGATTTCCCGCGCTCCGGGGCACACAAGGAACCGGAAATGCAAATCCGGTAAATTCTCTTAATTAGACCCGATATGCTAATTATGGTTACTTACCGCATTAAAGGGTCGCCTCCTTAATGTTGTCCGGCGAGAGAAACGGATGGCGAGAGAGTGTGCGAGAGATAGAGAGTGACCCGGCGAGAGAGTGAACGATAGATAGAGAGTGACCCGGCGAGAGAAACGGATGGCGAGAGAGCGAGCGAGAGATCGAGAGTGACCCGGCGAGAGAGTGAGCGAGAGATAGAGAGTGACGCGGCGAGAGAGTGAACGAGAGATAGAGAGTGACCCCGGCGAGAGAAACGGATGGCGAGAGAGCGAGCGAGAGATAGAGAGTGACCCGGCGAGAGTGAGCGAGAGATAGAGAGTGACGCGGCGAGAGAGTGAACGGAGATAGAGAGTGACGCGGCGAGAGTGAACGAGAGATAGAGAGTGACCCCGGCGAGAGAAACGATGGTGAGAGAGTGAGCGAGAGATAGAGAGTGACCCGGCGAGAGAGTGAGCAAGAGATAGAGAGTGACGCGGCGAGAGAGTGAACGAGAGATAGAGAGTGACGCGGCGAGAGAGTGAACGAGAGATAGAGAGTGACCCCGGCGAGAGAAACGGATGGCGAGAGAGCGAGCGAGAGATAGAGAGTGACGCGGCGAGAGAGTGAACGAGAGATAGAGAGTGACGCGGCGAGAGAGTGAACGAGAGATAGAGAGTGACCCTGGCGAGAGAAACGGATGGCGAGAGAGCGAGCGAGAGATCGAGAGTGACCCGGCGAGAGAGTGAGCGAGAGATAGAGAGTGACGCGGCGAGAGAGTGAACGAGAGATAGAGAGTGACCCCGGCGAGAGAAATGGAGGGCGAGAGAGTGACCCGGCGAGAGATACCAAGAGCGAGAGATTGAGCGAGAGATAGATCGTTGCCCGGCGAGAGATACCAAGAGTAAGAGAGTGTGCGAGAGATAGAGAGTGACCCGGCGAGAGAAATGGAGGGCGAGAGAGTGATCGAGAGATAGAGAGTGACCCGGCGAAAGGTACCAAGAGCAAGTGAGTGAGCGAGAGATAGCGAGTGACCCGGCGAAAGATACCAAGAGCAAGAGAGTGAGCGAGAGATCGAGAGTGACCCTGCGAAAGATACCAAGAGCAAGAGAGTGAGCGAGAGATAGAGAGTGACCCGGCGAGAGATACCAAGAGTAAGAGAGGTGTGGAGAGATAGAGAGTGACCCGGCGAGAGAAATGGAGGGCGAGAGAGTGATCGAGAGATAGAGAGTGACCCGGCGAAAGATACGAAGAGCATGAGACTGATCGAGAGATCGCAGCGACTCGGCGAGAGATACCAAGAGCGAGAGAGCGAGCGAGAGATAGTGAGTGACCCGGCGAAAGATACCAAGAGCAAGAGGAGTGAGCGAGAGATCGAGATGACCCTGCGAAAGATACCAAGAGCAAGAGAGTGAGCGAGAGATAGAGAGTGACCCGGCGAGAGATACCAAGAGTAAGAGAGTGTGCGAGAGATAGAGAGTGCCCCGGCGAGAGAAATCGAGGGCGAAAGAGTGATCGAGAGATAGAGAGTGACCCGGCGAAAGATACGAAGAGCAAGAGAGTGAGCGAGAGATCGCAGCGACTCGGCGAGAGATACCAAGAGCGAGAGAGCGAGCGAGAGATAGTGAGTGACCCGGCGAAAGATACCAAGAGCAAGAGAGGAGCGAGAGATCGAGAAGTGACCCAGCGAAAGATACGAAGAGCAGACTGAGCGAGAGATCGCAGCGACTCGGCGGAGAGATACCAAGAGCGAGAGAGCGAGCGAGAGATAGTGAGTGACCCGGCGAAAGATACCAAGAGCAAGAGAGTGAGCGAGAGATAGAGAGTGACCCGGCGAGAGAAATGGAGGGCGAGAGAGTGGCCCGGCGAGAGATACCAAGAGCGAGAGAGTGAGCGAGAGATAGCGAGTGTACCGGCAAGAGAAACGGATGGTGAGAGAGTGAGCGAGAGATAGAGAGTGACCCGGCGAGAGAGTGAGCGAGAGATAGAGAACCGCGGCGAGAGAGTGAACGAGAGATAGAGAGTGACCCGGCGAGAGAAACGGATGGCGAGAGAGCGAGCGAGAGATAGAGAGTGACCCGGCGAGAGAGTGAACGAGAGATCGAGAGTGACCCGGCGAGAGAAATCGAGGGCGAAAGAGTGATCGAGAGATAGAGAGTGACCCGGCGAAAGATACGAAGAGCAAGAGACTGAGCGAGAGATCGCAGCGACTCGGCGAGAGATACCAAGAGCGAGAGAGCGAGCGAGAGATAGTGAGTGACCCGGCGAAAGATACCAAGAGCAAGAGAGTGAGCGAGAGATCGAGAGTGACCCTGCGAAAGATACCAAGAGCCAGAGAGTGAGCGAGAGATAGAGAGTGACCCGGCGAGAGAAATGGAGGGCGAGAGAGTGGCCCGGCGAGAGATACCAAGAGCGAGAGAGTGAGCGAGAGATAGCGAGTGTACCGGCAAGAGAAACGGATGGTGAGAGAGTGAGCGAGAGATAGAGAGTGACCCGGCGATAGAAATGGAGGGCGAGAGAGTGACTCGGCGAGAGATACCAAGAGCAAGTGAGGGAGCGAGAGATAGTGAGTGACCCGGCGAAAGATACCAAGAGCAAGTGAGTGAGCGAGAGATAGTGAGTGACCCGGCGAAAGATACCAAGAGCAAGAGAGTGAGCGAGAGATCGAGAGTGACCCTGCGAAAGATACCAAGAGCAAGAGAGTGACCGAGAGATAGAGAGTGACCCGGCGAGAGATACCAAGAGTAAGAGAGTGTGCGAGAGATAGAGAGTGACCCGGCGAGAGAAATGGAGGGCGAGAGAGTGATCGAGAGATAGAGAGTGACCCGGCGAAAGATACGAAGAGCAAGAGACGGAGCGAGAGATCGAGAGTGACTCGAGGAGAGATACCAAGAGCGAGAGAGCGAGCGAGAGATAGAGAGTGACCCGTGGAGAGATATAGGGGTCGCGAGATTGAGCGAGAGATGGAGAGGATCGGGTGAGAGAAACCGAGGGGAGAGAGTGAATAGAGAGAGAGACCCGGCGACGAGGGATGCGCGAAAGGTAGAGAATGAGAGAAAGAGAGGCAGAGAGAGTCAGCGAGAGATAGAGAGTAATCGGACGAGAGAAATGGAGGCAGATAGGGTGAGCGGGAGATACCGGGAAGTGGACGATAGCTAGCTGGTATCTTTCTCACTTCCTCTCTCTCTCTGCAAATTCAGGTTGCAAAATAGACGATTTATTCATCCGTGCCATTCGCGACAGTCTTGATGATACTCTGGGCACATTGGCGGGCTCAGTGCATAAGGATCGAGTTTTTAGGTAGTTCAGCGGCTTGATAATGGGAGAGGAGGGAATAGCCAAATTTGAGGAGGTCACTTGTCCCTCGAGGACGACAAAAGCGCGCCGGAAGTGGCGATCATCTCGAAAGATCACTGTCTCGAACGGGAAAGACAAAATTGATAACTTATGACTACAAATCCGGGTATTTCCTGCGTTAAAGGGACCGTGACAGTTGCGGCAAAAGGGACGTGGCCAAATCAAGAAACCCGTGGCGGAGGTCTGTATTTTCATTCAGGTGGGGAGATGGCTTGGCATGGCTGGGGGGAGGATTATATAGTATACTAGGATAACACCGTATTCCGAGAAATTGCAGCGAACCGTAATATAAATTTAAAGTTTGGACCGGCTTGTGCCTAATAATGTACGCTTATTGGCGATTTTCACTGATAGGAACACAATAATTAAATTAGTGGAGATAGCAAAAAAATCGACCCAAAAACAGAAAAAAAATCGTACGAGGTCCGGGCGGGGGGGGGGGTAGATGAATTCCGAGTGGAAACGCGCTTGGCACTGCTTTAATCTGCATAAATGAAAAAATCGAATTTAATGGGTTCGGCTGATTAGTATAATAATACAACTAATAAACTGATGTAGACCAAGTTGTATTTTGAGCTTCAGGTCCAAAATAATTAGAAAACTATATGCGTTTTCGAGTTCCAAGCCATTTTCCGACCCTGCTAATCTAGGTAGACCATCTATGCAACCAGTTTCTCATGTAACAAAAAAACACACGTCAAATTTCAGCGCGCTGGCGATATGGAGGAGATCAGAGGGGATGGGGAGGGGAAAAAGTTCTCAAATAAAAATTGCGACGTCGGGTGTACGGTGGGAACGCGGGGGATACGGTAGGATACAGTAAAAAAACGGAAAATATCCGCAAGCTGGTTGGATCTTAAAGGGAGCATGTCAGCTGAGGTTTTCTAGGGGTTTTGGCGCTTAATGTATATCTATCATTCTCTGTTTCCCACCGGATTTCGCTCTTGCTCACTCGCCGCCTTGCTCTCTATATCTCTATCTCTCTGCTTCTCTCGCTATGGTCTGCGGCTCTCTCTCGCGCGCTCTCTCTCCTTCTGTCTGTCTCTCTCGCTCTCTCTCTGCCTCGTTATCTATCTCTCACCCATTCGCTGTCTCTCTTTATCTCTCTCGCGCGCGCTCTCTCCCTCTGTCTCTCTCGCACTCTTTCCGTCTCCTCCTCTAGCTTTCTCTCGCCCCAAAACCTCAAAAGCATATACAGGGTGGTCCATAAGTATTGTCGTTTTCAAGGCGTCATATCTTTCACACTGGGCGATTTCCGCGATTTAGCCAATTAGGTTAGCTTCAGACAAGCCTTATAAACCACTTTGCTTTAGAAAGTTTTTTGGAATAATGGTTTCTAAGGGAGATAATTTGTCTAAAGTGGGCGACAAAAGTTTGGGTGCGCCGCGCCAGAATTTCGGGAAGAGGGCTCTAAATCCAGCGATTGAGAGTCAGGATGTTTTTTCCA